TCAAAATCAAGTCTAATCTTCACCGAAACACCCTCAAAATTGAGATATAAACTCCAAACCATATTCCCAATTGTTTGCAACAACACCCAATCCAAACAAATAATAATTTTTCAAAACCCAAATTCGAATTCAAAGCTTCAAAGCTTTTTAATGGCTGTCAATGGTGGAATTGCTGCTCTCTTTTTCTTTGCTTTACATTACTGAAATTAGGGATTGAGAGATAGAGAAAGACGTAGAGAGAATTCTCAATTCTTTGCAGCAACACCCAATTCAAACAAATAATTTTTTTTGGGTGAATCCTCTAAAAAAACACCCAAATCAAATGTAAGAATATCGGCTCCTTTGCCTTTTTTAGGGTTGTTCTTTGAAGCTATTTTCTTCTTCATTGAAAATCAAGCTAAGTACAGACGTTAATGGAGGTGATTTTTTGAAGAAGAGAGTAAAAATTTAGAATGCTTATGGAAGAAGAGAGGAAATAGGCGTTAACAGAGGGATTCTAAATTTTGTGAAGAGAAAATCGTGGGTGAGTGCAAGATATGTGGGGGAGGGGGGTGGGATGTGGAGAGAGAAACATGGGGGGAGTGGAAGATACGTTAGAGCAATTTTGGGACACTAATTATTATCATTAATTCCCTTAAAATGTACATAAATGGTAATTGGGTATATAATATGTAATTATAGTAAAACTTGAGTAGGGAAGGTAATATAGTTTCATATAATGTATAGGAATATAAAAATCTTATTCCATAATAATGAGACCCATTNCACACACACACACACACACACACACACACACACACACACACATATATATATATATATATATCAAATAAGTATTAAATATTGTTTATCTAAAAGCTATTTATTATTACACACACAGAGACACAAAAATATTAATAAATTTATATTCTAATTATTTTAAAATCATTTTTCCAACCGGATCGGTCGGAAATATTTAATTATAAATTATTTCGGTTGGTTAATTAAATATATATAATTTTTGGCTTGTGGGGAAATAAAAAATTCAAAATTTCCGACCGAATTCGGTCGGAAATTTGGACAAATTTTAATAAATAAATATTTTTGTACATTATATACAAGTTTGACCAAATATTTGACTAATTTCCAACCGAATTCTGTCGGAAATTTGGTAAATTTTAATAAATAATTATTTTTGTACATAAGTTACAAGTATGACCAAATATTTGACCAATTTCCGACCGAAATCGGTCGGAAATTTTTCGTTCGGAAATTCTTGGACGGAAATCACCTGATTTCTAGTAGTGATATAAATTATACCACATCACCCATGTGGTCTCTAAGAATTCCCCCTCCACCTGCTTGGCCAGAATTATCTTTAGAGCATCCATCAGTATTTAATTTTAGCTCAAATAATTCAGGCTTATCCCATTTGAACCTTTTAATCCAAATATTCTGCTTCATCTACTCTATAGTGGCACATATTTCTGACCATTTCCCATCAAAAGAGATGGAAAGAATGGCGGAGTTCAAAAATAACAACATGATATAATTGATCTGGCCAATTACATACTTTGTAGAAATTTGAATGCCCTCAAATCTAACTTTGCACCTAGATTTCCATATCTCCCAGCATATGACAATAGGTAGGCATCTTCCACCTAGATTTATTTGAATTTCAAGTTTTATTAGAGTTTTTCTGAGGACGAGCTACAACAACATGCACAAAATTAAAGCAACTAAAAAGATTATTGAAACCGTTCAAATAGGGGAAAAAAAATATGTTTGATAAATGAATTCTAATTTATTGACTATTACTTATAATCTCGTACCATGACGTATCTGAAATAGTAGTAATTAGTGAAATAAAAAGACATACAAACCATCGACGTAATTCCATCTCCTGAGGTCCAAAGATGAAAATCTTATAATATTTTGAACCATTCATGAACATCACAACAAAGACGATTACAATATTTATAGCTCCTATGTAAATAAGTAGTTGTACAACAGCTACAAAATAAGAGTTAGAATATAGAAGAACAATGTACAAGAACCAATTCCAAGGAAAAGGAACAATAAATTGGAGTTGTATTAAAATTTTCCTTGGAAGGTTTGAAATAGAATACTAATATAGATTCATATATAAGAAAAGGTTCTTTATTTATTCAAACACTATACCTAACTTATGTGATATGTCATATGAATAAGGAAGGAGAAATCTTTTTCCTTTTTCCCGGATTTTTTTTTTAAAAAAGTATTTGTCCATGAAAATTTATAAGTTTCCGAAAATTCTTTTCGAACTCACAAAAATATTTTTTTAAGCAAAATATAATTTCAAATTTCATACAGTACCTTTTTTTCATCTACTACTTTGGGACTCTTTTTCTTTCGCTGGTTTTAGAGAGTTTTTCCAGAAGCTCTTCTTTCTTCTTCAAGCGTAAGTTCCAGGTAATCTTCTTCTTCTTCTTCCCTTTCTTCTCTGCTCTTCTGCTCCATGACTCGCTGCCTTAACTGTCGAAGGACCCATGCCTTAACAATTTTCCTTTGACGAATCTCTGAGTTAACGTCAAACGTCGATTTGACGTTAGAATTTGAATAGTATAATTCATCGTTGCATGTCCTTTTGGTGTTATTGTTGTGTTTATAGTTGTTTTTTTTTTTTGAGATATTAATCAGTCCATCCCTGCCATTGGTGTTAGTATTGTGTTTGTAGCTATTTGCTCTGTTTTAGGTATTTTCCGGTACTAGTATTGTTAACTCTTTGCTTCTATCTTTCAGTTTTAGGGTTACATTGATTCAATTATCTTCCTCCCTTCCCTTCCATTCCCTTCCCCATAATACTACCTATTTTCCTTCTTGCAGTTTTCATTTTTTAAAGGATTTTTACTTAGATGCCTATGGTAACACGTGGTGAGCGTCTTCGGAAATTGCCTAAGGATCCCGAGAGGTGGATTACGATGAGGTGGTTTTTTTTAAATATTGTGATTTTTCTTCTTATTTTATCAGTACATTGTGCATGCCCATTTATCTTGTTGATTGGTAAACCTTGAATACTGGAGCATCTAAGGTTGTGGCTTAGTGGTCAATAAAGTGGGTGAGAACCATGAGGTCTCAGGTTCAAATCCTAGAGAAGGCGAAAAACACTAGGTAATTTCTTCCCGTCTATCCAAGCCTTGGTGGATAGAGTTACCTTGAATACTGGAGCTACTTGGTCTTTTGTGTTCTTAGAAACTAGGTGGATTGACCCTAAGCAGCCGGATACGGTGTGTTTTAGACCCCTTATGTTGTATAGACTGAAGGTCTATTGATTATCAAGCAGATTGTATTTTTTTCCAACTATATATAGGCTGAATATGGTTTTGAATGGTAATTGATTTGTTGGTTTTACAGTTGGATGTTCCATCAATAGTTGATGTTCTTAAGTATGGTGACTGCGATTTGGTGAAGTTGTTGGCGATCAAACAACTCCAAAAATTGTTCCATTACGGTATGAACTGCTCCAACTTCGTTTCTGCTGATTTTCTTGAACTCGCATATCACTAACGTTCAAATTTTAATTCACAGGTATGATCACTGCTCTAGAAGATGCTCGAGACTCTGGTGAACTTGTTCCTACTTAATGAAATTCTAGGGAGAGATGATTCATCGGCGCTCAAGGTAGATAGTGATGTGTTGATCACCTTTTTGTGCCTCTTCTTTAGTGTCTTGTGGTTGTAGCTTCACACTTGCTTTATTCTTATGGTTTTGTGGTCACAGTCTGAAGCTGCTAAGGCTGTCATAGACAGTATTCCTGAATTGTTCGAGCTAACTGATTTGGTGATTTGAGAATAAGCTGGTGGAAACTCTTCTAAAGCTTTTGCATTTTCCAGATGGTAATGTTTGTGAGCAGGTATGTTTTAAAATTGGCAGACCCCTATGCTGTATAGACTGAAGCTATGTTTATTAGAAGACTGATTGTTTTTTCCTTCCAAATATAGGCGGTGGAGAAACTGGGAAAGGTTGCTCAATCCGTTGTAGGTCGTGATTATGCTCTAATTGAGTGTGGGGCTATGGATGATTTGCTGGAAATTTTGAACACGCTAACGAGATTTCAATGCTGAGAAAAGCCTCATGGACTATATGGGTGTGTTTGGTATGAACCGGAAAATGTTTTCCAATTTTCCCATGTTTGGTTGGCTTAAATATTTTGGAAAACATTTTCTTTATCAACTCATTTTCCTCCAATTGGAGGAAAATGTTTTCCTTATCAAGTGAAGGGAAAATATTTTTCAAAACTCCTTCTCAACCTTCCCCATCCTATTCCTCCCTCACCAACCCACCCCACACCAACCCACCCTCCCACCTCCTCTCTCCAAAAAGGATTTTTTTTAAAAATTTTAGTACTTTTTTCCGTCACTACCCACCCTGATATCCCCGCCAAAACCCCACCCTCACTCCCTCCCCCCTCCCCAAAAAAAATATTTTAGCTTTTTTGTAATTTTTATATTTCTGTATTTTCATTTTTCTGCACCCCACTGCCCCTACCCTC